AAGAATACACAATGAGGAAAAGATTGTCTTCAAGTGGTGTTGGTAAAGTTGGGCAGTACATGTAAATCAGTGAAGCTAGAATACACTCTTACAACATACACAAAAATGACAAGATACCATAAAACTCCTTTAAGAAAATATAGGCAAAAGACTGTCAGTCATAAATTGTACCATTGTTAGGTCACTCTACCAAGGCAATAGAAATAAAGAAAAAATAAACAAGTGGGACCTAATCAAATTTATAAGCTTTTGCACAGGAAAAGAAACCATAAACAAAACAGAAAGACAGCCTATAGACTGGGATGTAGTATTTGCAAATGATGCAAGCTACAGGGGCCAAATTTTCAAAATATACAAATAGCTCCCACAATTCAATAACAAAATCCCCAAACAACCAAGTTTTTTTTTAAAAAAGGACACAATACCTAAATAGACATTTCTTCAAAGAAGACATACAGATGGCCAATAGGCACATGAAAAGATAGTCCACATTGCTAATTATTGGGTAAATGCAAATCAAAATTACAATGAGGTCTCACCCCACACCAGTCAGAATGGCCATCATCAAAAAATCTACAAACAGTAAATGCTGGAGAGGGTGTGGAGAAAAGGGAACCCTCCTACACTGTTAGTGGGAATGCAAATTGTTATAGCTACTATGGAGAATAGCATGAGGGTTCCTCAAAAAAACAAAAGCTACCATATGACCCAGCACACCTACTCCTGGGCATATATTCAGAAAAGATAAAAACTCCTAAAAAGATACATGCACCCCAATGTTTATTGCAGCATTATTTACAATAGCCAAGACATGGAAGCAAAGTGAGCATCAATAGGCTTGGTTTAAGAAGTTGTGGTATTTATATATAATGAAATATTACTCAGCCATTAAAAAGAGTGAAGCAATGCCATTAGCCACAAATGGACCTAGAGATTAACACACTTAGCCAGAAAGAGAAAGATAAATACCATATGATGTCACTTATATGTGGAGTCTTAATACAGTGCAAATGAACATATCTATGAAACAGAAAGAGACACAGATGGAGAACCAACTTGTTGTATTCAAGGGGGAAGGAAGGACTGGGAATTTGGGATTAGCAGATGTGAACTACTATATGTAAGATGGATAAACAAGGTTGTTCCCTATATAGCACAGGGAACTATATTCAGTATCCTGTGATAAATTATAATGGAAAAGAATATACATGTATGTGTGTGTGTGTATAACTGAGTCACTTTGCTCAATAGCAGAAATTAAATACAACATTGTAAATTAACCATACTTCAATAAAATTAATAAAGCAAAAACCCAGAAACAAACAAAAAGCTGAGTTTTCTCCAAATTCCTTTCTGCTTGAAAGGCTTTTGCAAAATCAGAACCTCTTACATTGGCAGTTTTTCTAAGTACTTTCCAGTCGGTTCTTCTCAAATGCCCCTCACTGCAGTGCTCACCCTTAGGGTGCAGTTTGTATATTTGTTATTTACCAAAGGCATTTGGTTTGCGTTTTGAGGAAAATCAGTTGGGCATCAGAGAATGCCTGTCTTCCAAATTGTGTTGGCGCAGGCAAGCCTGAGTTTTCTGCATTGTGTCCCATACACTGGCTGCTGTTTCCTCCATTTAGAACTCTGGCAGAGTAATCCTGGATAGATTTATTCTGTCTCCTACAGGTACAGAAAGCTGATACCCTAGTAGTAATTACAAGTATTCCTGTATAACCATCTCCCTCCAAATGTGTGAGAATCTGAGAGACATTTTCTTGACTTCTAGTTGGAGTTCAAAATGAAATTACAGTTAGAAGTAGTTAGGTTTATAGTAAATAGGCTGGGAACCTAACCACCATTTTTGACATTTTCTCTAGGTAGGTGGGTTATGAGTAATTAGAAGTAAATGGACGTTAGCTGCACCTCGTCTGTACATCAGAGCCAGCTTTAGTGGGAGGAGTAAATGAAATAAAATGAGAAAGCCCAGTTTTGCAGATTGCCTGCCGCAGATCCGTGTTAAAGGATGGACTGGATTCCTCATTTTCAATGCCTGCTTCTTTAACCATTGATTGGAAGTGCTGCAGGAAAAAAAAAAAAGAGCCAATCCACACTCAGCAGGATTGAGTAGTAATTTATTGTGATTGTCTTTGTTCAGCTTTGAAAAACGAAGGCATTGATATTAGGACTAAGGAGAAATTACATCGAGCTGGTGTGATTGAAAAAAGTTTGGCTCTTTCGAGTGATTTTTTTGTTTTTAATGCCACAGAGTTAGGCTTTAAAAGCACGCTTCATTGACTCTCATCCAAGCCTCTGAGGACAAGGCTAAGGGACCTTTTTTCTTTTGAGGGCCACTGACCCACAAAGAAAAAAACCTAATCAAGGGCCATGTACAAAAAGCAACTTAATTTAGGTGCTTCCTTAGAAATCCATAAAGCCTTCAATACACCTGCTTTTGAACTTAAGAACAGGGAACTCTCAACAAGTATAACAAATACAAAAAGTCCTTCAGTTTCTCATTATGTGCTGTTAAAAGAGGTGGAGTGGGTTAAGAGAGAATAAGGTGAGAAGAGTGAAAAGGGGTGAAAAGTAGACAGAAGAGGTAAGGGACCAGAAGAAGGCTATGGAGAGCACAGCCAGCGTCCCAGAAGCAGGAGGTTGAGTTAGGGACGTAGAGGAGGTAAATGATGGCTGTAGATCATAGCCCTGTTTACTTGAACTGTTGGATGAACTAAGACTCCCAAGTCTTCTGTGGCTCTAATGCTTCAGGCTTTGAAGCTAGAATTCTTCAGAAAGGGCATGTATCAGAAGCTCCTCTCACAATCTCACCCCCTGCCCCCAGCAGTGGCTGTCGGCCACCTGTCCCACATTGGATCCTGATGTTCCTATACTCTACTCTTTCAGCCTAAAGACCAAATTGTGACATCCTTCTTAAATGAGAAGTACATAGGATCAGCAAGTTTAGAGGAGATCTCCAGAAACAAAAGGCATTTCTCATTCAGACCCAGCATTTTAGAAGCAATCTCCAACAAAGTGGAATGTCTTTCCATCAATACATATGGCCTGGCTTTGAATCATAGAAATCATTTTTGGGTGTTAAAGTAGAACTATTTATGTTTAAAACTCAAATGAGTTGCTTGAATTCTTACCAGGATGCAGGACTGTAATTTCTTCTTTAGATGCACCAAGAATTGTCCCTTTTCCTCCCTTTGAACTTCTCATCAGCCAAAACTGGTTATGGCACCAAATCCCTAGTAGCCCAAGTATGGTTTGGGATTTATTTCACAAGTGTGTTTTGGACAGGGCTTCTGGCAAGAATGTCACATTACATTTTCAAGTAACACCTTTTAGAAATGCAGACAGATTACATGGTGTATTCAAGGCTCAAATGAGCAGAAGTGGCTCTGTGATGATTTGTAGCCTGTGAAAATCTTAAAAAGTAGCTGCTCTCTTATTATAATTCATTTATGTAGTTTTGTACATCCTAAGTTCTCATTGTATTTCAGTTCATTTTCTATGTGGGGTGTGAGTGTGATATGGATTTTTTTTTTAAACACAGTTACAAGTACTGTAACTTGTACTTGCTGTAGTAGTTGGGAACCTTTGCATTATTTTTTGTGTGAAGATTGTGTTGCGGGGGGGCTCTTCCACCCTAAAACCAGGAGACAACTGGGTATCTCTTAGCTAATTAGATGTCTCAGTACCAAAGACCTGCTGTGAACTTGTTAAGCCAGTGAGGAGGCAGTTTTGTTTTTGGTTGTAACAAGGTGTTTCCAGAAAACTGGGCTTCTTCCACTAATGAGATCTAAGATGTTCAGCAACCTCACAGCTCTAAACTCTTCACATCCTTCCTTAGCCCCCATCCCCACCCCAAAGGTTTCAAAATGGCAAAAGAAGCATTTTGTAGTTTCTGGATGAGGAAGTTATTTGAAGATTGTTTCCCTTCTCCTCTTCTTTAAATAGCCCTTTAATGCTGCAAACCCATTTTTGTCTGGCAGTAACACTCTCCCTACTTTTTAATTGCCAGGAAGGAAGAATGATCAGGAATATATCTGATTATGTAATTATTTGCATCTGTGCAGTTGACAACACTAATGTTAGTCAAATAAATTGCCAATACCATGTTATCTGAAGTCTGCCCCTGCCACAAGGCTACTTTGCTATCTGTCCGAGGTGAAGACTTATTTCCTCTAAGCAGCCGCAGCCAAGCAGCAGTGGTCGGCTCCTGGCCCAGTTCATGTCCACGATTAGTGTTGTTACACAGATTTTACTCTTCATTCCTCATCCCTTGTTTTATTATTCACACTTAACCATTGAAAGGTTCATATGTCTTCAGCATATGCCTTCCTGAGTTCCTGAGACCTTAGGTCTTTTCAGAACCCTTTGTCTATCATGGAACATGAACTGCAACAACAGGAGGAACAGTGAAGATACATCCTTGTAAACCAGTAGAAAATTATACAAGGGTACCTATACCACACACTTAACATTGGCATAACTAATGTGATGGTACCTGGTGGGATTATTTTTGAGTGGCATCGTATCTGTCAGTCATTATAAGGGAAAGGCATGGTCTGTTCGAAGGGTTAATTTTGGTCTGTGACAGAGGAACAAGGCAGGAGTGAAGTTTGGGGTTTATTAAAAAGAAACTTTCTAGACTCACGTCCAAACCACAAACAGAATGCTGTTGGTGTAGGGGAGGCAGATGGTTTGTGCATTGAGCTGCTATGGAGTGAATGTGTCTTGGACATTTTCCTGACTCTTCGAGCTACCTGAAGATTACATTTATTGAAAGCCATTAGTCTGTATTTGGATGAATTAGTGACTACACCACACACAATCATAAGGTCAATCTTCTGGTGTCTTAATACCTGTAACAAGAAAATCTTGACATCTGGGCTTTTGCAGGAATATCACAGACAGAGATGAAGCCAAGCATGTGCACCTAAATCAACCTCTTCCCTCTTGAACTTGATGACTTATGTTGGAGATTGATTGTCCTACGTTTTCTCTTCCAGGTGATCATTTGAAAATCTGTCTCCAGGGTTATACCTGCTGCTCTCAAGAGATGGAGGAGAAGTACAGCCTACAAAGTAAGGAGGATTTCAAAACTGTGGTCAACGAACAGTGCAATCATTTACAAGCTGTATTTGCCTCCCGCTACAAGAAGTTTGATGGTATGTATTGGAACTTTGGTCTCAGTAAGTGTAGTCATTTACTTATTTATTTATAGCCATGTTGCTTGTAGGATCTTATTTCCCTGACCAGGCATTGAACCTGGACCACAGCAGTGAAGTACTGTGTCCTAACCACTGGATGGCCAGGGAACTCCCTTGAATTCACTTTATACCTTTTAGTCAAGCCACATCCATGAGCTGCCAGTGAAATTTGTACAGTTGCTTCTCCCTGAGCGCCCTTCTTCTCTCAGTGCTCATTTTCTCTCAAGATGCTCTCTTTCCTGGATCCCAGGGGCAAGTGAGCCTTACAGTTTTAGTGCTAGAATCCTTCCAGATACACTAGGATCTGTATGGTATGGTAGCCATTATGGAAATATGGTCACAAGAAGCCAAGGAAGAGATTAAAGTAGTTTAAATGCTTTCATTTATTTTCTTGGGTGAACACACAATAGTGTTGTTGACGCAAGTCACTTACAAAAAGGCTTTCTAATAAAAAACAGGCATCTGAAAACTTAGCCAAAATAACCATAGATATTCTGCAGATGCTGGACTTCAAATTTAATTTCAAAATGGCTCCCCCAAAGCCAAGCAGAATTCCTAGAAACCCTGTAGAACATAGGATTAAAGCTCAGCTCTCGAGTGTCCATGCAGCGGCGACCCAGAGGTAGCTCCTGGGCTCTAGTCTTCAGTATACTGGGCTCCATCCAGGGCCTCATTTTAGCTGGAACTTCAGTGGCTCAGATGGTAAAGAATCTGCCTGCAGTGCAGGAGACCTGGGTTGGGAAATCCCCTGGAGTAGGACATGGCAACCCAGTCCAGTGCTCTTGTCTGGAGAATCCCCATTGACAGAGGAGCCTGGTGGGCTGTAGTCCATGGGGTCGCAAAGAGTTGGACACGACTGAGTGACTCACACTTTCAATTTCACACTTGGTCTATCTATGTGACACTTGATCTTGGCCAAGGCCAAGAAGCAATGGTCTATCCACATCAAAGCCACGAACAAACCCATTTCAGTCCTCTGTGCCAGATACGGATTCTCAGATGCACACTTCATCTTTTCAGAGAAATAGTCAATCTGAGTTAGATGAGAGGGACTTCAACATACCTGAAGCAATGTAATAGATAATAGACTTTCAAAACTAGAGTTACATGGTCCCAAACACCTCAGGATTCCTTTCTCTGGTGCTGTTCACTCAGTCTGAAGATTGTTGTGAAGTAGACTTTAATTTTAATAGAAATGATTTCCTTTGTGCCTGTTGTAAAGGCCATTCTAATTACATAGTACCTTTGAAGCATGCTTTTCCTGACTTTCTGTGTGGTGAAGAAGTACAAGGCAAATTTTCAAGATGTGAAATGTCTTTGAGCATTTCTGCAAAGGGCTCATTACCATGGTGAGAAGTGGGACTAAATTAGATTTGATCTAGCTGATAAGGCAGTCCCCAGTTAAAGAACAGGTTGTATTTCAAATGTTGGCTTTGAGATTCGTTACTTGAAACTGATAACTGATTTAATAAGTGTTAGTAGGTTCCCAGGCTACATGACAAATGCATAATTAAACTGTAATATAGGTGAACTAAATTTTTCTATGTACCAATTTTTGTGCCCACTTTCCCCAACACTTTGTGTGAGGAATTATGCTTAGTCTCCTTTGCCTAAATAGATGGAAATAATTTATATATTTCTGTATCCTGTTGACATCACGTGAAGATGAGTGTTACTGGCAAAAGACATCATTAGACCACCTGTGTCTCCTGGTCACTAAATTTATCAGTATGATCATTGAAAAGAATGGTATTCTCTTGACTATGGCATTTCCCATTCAAGACAATAACTGAGAAAAAACTTAGAAAGATAGACAGTCATTTTTCAAAACATGAGATGCTAGTAATTAAAAATTACCACTTGGGGGTTTACTAATGGGACTTAAAAGGGAAAATTCCAGCTCTTTAGAAGTGGCTAGCCTGTTTGTCGGAGAAGGCAATGGCACCCCACTCCAGTACTCTTGCCTGGAAAATCCCATGGATGGAGGAGCCTGGTGGGCTGCAGTCCATGGGGTCGCTCAGAGTCAGACACGACTGAGCGACTTCACTTTCACTTTTCACTTTCACACACTGGAGAAGGAAATGGCAACCCACTTCAGTGTTCTTGCCTGGAGAATCCCAGGGACGGCGAGGCCTGGTGGGCTGTAGTCCATGGGGTCACACAAAGTCAGACACGACTGAAGCGACTTAGCAGCAGCAGCAGCAGCCTGTTTGTAGCCTGCTGGAGTGGAGATAAGGCTGTTAACTTCCAAGGTCACCACCTCCAGATCACCACATTTCTTATTAGACATGTGTCCTGGTGTGGAGCACAGACATTTAGTGATTTCTCTTGCTGATGGACCTGCTGGTTTTGCTATTCTTTCCCCTTCACATTCCCCATGGTTTTATAGCATTATTCATATGACTCCAGTGTGTAGTTTTTAAAAAGCCATACAAAGAAACTTTATCAGTAAGTGTTAACATATGTTTTTTTAAAAAGTAGAGAAAAACAGTTTCTCTTGCCCATCCCTACCAGCCTTCACCTTCACTATATGTGTTTAACACTGTTTCTTTGTCAGTTTCAAAACTGGCCATGAAAAATGATTATGAAACTCCAGCTTGTTTCTTCTGACTTCACATTAGACTATGGCATAGACAATAAAGGTAGGCGGCATAGATTTAAATTATTTTGAAGGTGTAGTAGCTAAAATGTGTTTGACCTGCAGATCAGAACAGAGCTTGGATATTTTGCTTCCCCTCCCCCTCCAAGTTAGGTCTTCTGAGACAATTAACTGCTTCTATATGGTAAAAGTTGATTGGTAGCCAAGAAACCATAATCTGGTGGGTGCTGCATTTATTGATTGATTTTTAAGGTTGGCAGTTATGACCTGCCAGTGCTCCACAAGGCCTAAGGTGATGTTGAGTGAAGTTGTACAGAGGCTGTTGTGACTCTCAGAAATTCAAGGGTGGGGTGATTTGGTCACCACCTTTGTAAAAGCCAAACCAAGGGTTATTGATGTGAATGGAAGGCAGGAAGTTGAGCAGAGTAACAAGATGGCGACTGGAAAGACAAAATGGGGCAGCAGGGTGGCACAAAGAAGGCTAGTGATAAGTACTGAGAAAATAGTGAAGGACACATGGGAACAGGGGAGGTCAGACTACTTCAAAGAAGCATCTTTGGCCATCTCCAAGCTTACAGTTTAAATTCAAAGTGACCATCCTGAGCTCAGGCAGCTTCCTCTATCATCAAAGCCTCAGTCATGTTTATGAGATACCACGTTTTTCTAAAGCAGGAACAAGTGTTTTTTATAACATTTCAAATAAAAACAAGGTTTTTTGAGGCTTTTCAGGAATTCACCCTTTTTAACCAGAAAGCATCCAATTATCATACTGCCTCAATGAGCTCTGGGCAGAGTTCGAGCACCAGCTCTGGCGTTTTGGAATCAGTTAGTCCCATTATCTCTAAGGTCCATTGTTCTACACCTTTAATTTTCTATTCTTTGCACCTGTACAGTGCATAAACCAGTTTTTAAGTTGTAAACTCTCCCCATGTGTGTTTTGAGACCTGACTGAAGTACAGAACTTCCTTAGGCATCAGTTCCCCCACCCACACCCCCTTTCTCAGATATCCCATGTATTAAACCAATACCTCTGAGTTTAGGACTCATCTTTGTTTTCTCCTATACTTTAATCTACTCTTTGACTTAGAATGTTCAATACCAGAAATCTACTGTCCTGGGCTAGAGACATGGAGCCAGACAGAGTTAACTGCTCCCCCTCTTGGTCAGTTCTGGGAATTTTTCTTTCTTTTTTTTTTTTGAAGTATAGAACTGCTAATTAACATAGCTGAATCAGTTGTCTCATAAATATGCTAATCAGATACTTCGTTCAGGGGGCTTTGAAAGAATTGCTTGGCAAAAGGAATAGAAATAATAGAAGTAGGGCATAATCCGTGTTTGGGGACCACAACATAAAGACCCGCCCCCAAATGTCACATTTTGTGAGGCTAGTTGTTTTTAAAAGAATCAGAGCTAAATCAAACAACCCAAATAGATTAAGAAGATTAGAGCTGCCATGTTAAATGTATTTTCAAATGACATAGTAAAAATGATGGGAACAACCACAAAGATAGATTCTTGCTTACAGACTCCCCAAATCAAATTATTTGCACGTTGTTTTGCAGGTTCAAAAAGACTTTTTAAGGAAATTGCAGTGTTGTCTGATGGTAATCCATTGGGGAAACTGCTTTCCTTTGCCATTGTGGGAGCAAATGTAGCAACTTTGGGCAGGAGGCGGAGCCTACCAAGTTATCAGCCTGGTTGGTTCTGCTGTGAACCCACTGTGACCTGGAGCAATTAACTGGTCTCAGTTTTCCCATCCATAAAATGAAGGGGTTGAGTTGGATGTTCTGTAAAGACCCTTTCAATTCTACAAATTCTGTGAATCTTCTAAACATGTGACCAGACCAGCTGCTTCAGTGAAAGGTCTTACAAGATGTTAATTAGGCGTCTGCATGGTCCCCTCTATTTTCCTCCTATCATTTCTTAACCCTCCGCTACTTTCACCAGGTCTTTGAAAACCCTCTCATGGGCCTGAAGCTTGTTAACTCGAATAATAGTAGAAATGTTCTGAATTAGCTTAAAACGCACATAAAAGAAATAATTGTCTGTCCCATCTATCTGAAGAGTGCTTCATGTCCTGCTTTTGTGAAATGATAGAAAACAAGAGGGTTGGAGAGCTTAAGTGAAGGGTGGCCACTCTTCAGATTGAGCCAAATTTGTGTTTTAATCACTGACTAAAAATTTTCCGTGGTTCATCCTGGCCATTACTTCATTAGACCAATAGGCAAAGCAGTGTGGAGATTCAGCAAGTTGAAGGCATTCGAATTCACATGCCTATGAAAAACAAATATATAGCCAACTAAACTTCATGGCCATTAGCTAAGCTGAAATTTCTGAAATTTTCCTGACCCCTGACCAT